AGACGGCTTCATCATTTGTACTCTTTGCCAAATAATGTTAGAGTGATCAAATCAAAGAAATAAGATGGGCAGGGCATGTAACACGGACAGTAGAGATGATAAACTCACACAAAGTTCTAGACTGGAACCAGAAGGGGGGCGGTATACTTGGGAGACATTAGCAGTGAGTGCTGAAACTGTGAACTACATTCAGCAGGCTGAACATAAGGCCCAGATGCAGAATGTTTTGAACACAGTAACGAACCTTTTGGTTTCATAACAGACGGCAATTTGGTGACAAGCTGAACGACTATTAACGTCTCAAACAGGACTCCGCTCCACCGAGTCAGTAATCAGAAGCAAACCAGATGGTAAGAAGATCGGGAATGGCGAGCAGGTAAGAATTTGGAAACGGACGGTCCTATTTCAAGTTCTTTCCCAGAAATTGTATGAAGAAACTCACGAGAAACTCTCACATTACCCGGTAATCTGACCGAGTTTCAAACTAGGCACCTCCCGAATAATCGCGGAGATATATTTCCAGCTGCACCAACTTGCTAAGTGAGAGTGGCCAAAGCTGGTCCTTTCGGAGGCCTTGTGATCTCTTACCACCCGTATTAATGACGTCACGATGCACTGTTCAGTGTTAAAACAGTAAAAATCGCTAAGCCTCCCCAACAGAGGGCTGGAAATCCACTAGCTCAAGGCGCGTGCTATTACGGTACAGAAAGCAGAACTGCTACACGCAGATTTGCCCGAACTTCACGTCTGATCAACCATTTTCGCTCCACTTACTTTGAATGCAGACACGTGGCAAGGTTTCTAGAAAAAAATTCAAAATATTGTACGCCTCCTTTAACTCATACAGAGGGTAAAGCAAAAGCCCCAAGACATGAAGACGTGCGTGGGGGCGAACGTATATGTAACACGCATTCTTTACTTTGGTCTTAGATAAATATGAACGGTTAGCTTCACGCTGCGACCATTTTACGTCCACAGAAAGTGATCCCGGTACCAAGTGGACGAGAGGCTAGACGGATTCCATAGCAAATCTTAACGTGATTCTTAGGAGAATCGAATCCCATCGTTCACCCCATTGCCAGTCGCTACAGTTTTCTATCACAGAAAATAAGTTTTGAAACCTCCATGTGATTATGAACATAACAGTTTTGTGGATCTACTCTTTCAAACAAAATACAAATATGGGTGTTGTTCAAGTGTTTGTGACATTCTGTAAGGCACCACGCCTTGAAAATGTTTAATTATTTTGTGTCCCATCATCGGATTAGAATAAACACACATTTATAATTTTCGGTAAAAGAATGAATCTCAAATTTTATATGTTAATAAAATGAAATTATAACAGCAACTGTTTTATATTCTGGTGACTTATAAATAACTAAACTGTCATTTTGCTTGTAAGATGAGCACATAAGTTCTAAAGTTTTTTTTTTTTTTTTAACTATTTCCGATTAGGTAAAAACAAACACTATCCTGTTAACCCGACCTGAGATGCAAGTTTACCACTGCGTGATATTCCTGTGTCAAATCGACCGGACAGTATAGCATGATTTAAATCTCAGTGTCCAAGTTGAGCTGACAAGACTTTCATTAATTGTTACAGAATACTTCGTAATGTTCAGTTACTATGAATTTACCTCGAGCAAAATAATACGATCTATCAAATGAACAGTACTCTGCTTTAAAAACATAACGAATGATTCAAGAACTGAATTTACAGCTAGGATTTGAGGTTTTCAAGGCGGTGAGTCTGAAGATGGCTGTCTTCTGGGTTGTTCGACCAGACTACTCGGCGCAACAACCCAGAAGACAGTCAACTTCATATTTTAATTAGTTATACTGACTTGGCAGTCTGCACACTACTAACGTCGGGGCAGGGCCCTGAACTGTTCTGTGGCACCAAAAAGAGGAAGGATGCAATAAAAAATGTTTCAGCTGATGAGAGTTCGGGGGGGGGGGGGGGGGATAAATAAAAACAAAGAAAAAGTATTGTAAAGCATCACTGTATAGACATCGCAAGAGACGTTCTGAATAAAAAAAAACACAACTAAATAAATACCACATCTAACATAAAATCAAACGCATTCCTAAATCAAATTAACCTTGAGCCTTCTTGGTTATATAATTATAGCCTCCAGTCTACAAACTAAATTAAATATTTTAACGGGCTGTTAGTATTTCCCACGTTTCTTGTTCTTAGTTTTAGCGGCTGGAGTTCAGTATGTAACTTCGGCTTTCAAGTGTGAGCAGCGTCCAATGCTGAGAATTATCGGTTTCGGCAAACACTGTATTTGCCATCTTCAGGGAAAATGTGTAACGGTTGGGTACTGGTTCAACCCTTGTAGAGGGTAGGCAGTAGGTGGCGGGTTGCATTTGACGGTGCTGATTGGTGGAGTGGTAAATCTGGCTGCTATCCAATAAGAAAGAAGCATGTGGATGAGAAAAACAGGCGATGAAGAAAATGGCTTTACAGCTGCAAGTAACCTATCGAACCAGCGGACTCTTTAAAGAAGACTATATACCACGCAACAGAGTACACGCACAGAAACGTGCCATTATTGAATACAATGTATGTGCAGATTTATATATTACCAAATTTCCCAACAAATGACGCTTCTTCAAATAAATCAGAAGCCCACTGCTTTAATATCGCCTATGGCAGCTTTAGTGGAGCAATGTTTGTTCAGACAAAAGCGTTAGCAATTTGTTGAAACAGTTCACCATAACGAAGTCACGGACGTCATACTACATTGTGCAGCAAAACGTACGAGATAAAAACTGATAATACGGTGTCTTAAAAGCCTTTTGACATGTTCCGTGCTATGAACGAAATAATACAATTGCCAATCCTTCAGGTCAAATACCACATATTTATGATGAGCTTACGTATGTCTTTGTCTATGGCGATCTAATGCTATTTCAAATTTCAATAATAGAATAGTCCACAATCAACATTATGCGCTCAGTTCATAACACTTAGCCTCCTCAATCTTACTTATACACTGCAATAAAAATCAAGTTCTTAAATTTGTCTGAATTCGAAACCGGAAGTGATGTAAGCGTACAGCTGGCGTCATAATTGCAATCATTGGTAATCTTGTATTTATTCAAATGTGCTGTACTCTCCCTTCTAGTAATTACAATTATTTATATCAGATTTCTATTAAACAAAGACACCAATATATCTGCCTAATTTTAACCCTTTGCGGTCCCTTTTAGATACCACTACTGACTGCTCTCTGCTGGTCTATTTAAATGCCAATACGCTGTATACATTCAACTACTTTTATGTCCTGTTTGGATTTTCTATTTAACTTGCATAAAACAGAAGACACTTTGCTAAAAATGGTGAAAATATGTTCTGATAGGATCACAATTCCTCTTTTTGAATACTGACCGTGTGAAATATTTTTCACGGACTGTACCACTGTCGATATTGAGATGTGTAATATGTGTTGCCTTTCTGCTTCCCGTCGTACGGTAGAGAATAAAGCAAGTCCAAGTCATATGACTTTGGCGAAGTCTAAACATCTCCTATTGCATGCAGATACACGATGTACAAGCATTGGATTTTATATTATCAGAGCTAAGCTTCCTTTCGTGCTGATTGTTTTCGAAAGTACAAGACCTAACTCAACACCAGGAAAATGAAACAAAACGCGAAGTTTAAACGATGAAGTCATTACACATAAAGAATGGTTGATAAGAAGACGATAGAATATGCACATGTCAGTGGTGGATTGCTCTAAGCGTCCAAAGTAGTCAAAAAATATATAATTTCCAACTATGATGATGGGATATTTGTTTTATAACTTTATCAGACATAAAATACCTCTATTCTAAGGAAATATGACAGCTACACACACAAGTATATTACTTCACTCTATGATGTATGGCAAAACACTTGGTGTGGAATCCTGGCTTCCTTCGACACGTGCCAGAATAAAATGACTTTTCTCTCCTGCCTCATTTCACTATTATGAGGTACACAAAGTATTACCAGGAAAACTAGGATATAACTAGTACAAAGAAGAAGGCTTGAAAGCTATGCTGACACCGTTTGCCAGTCTCAGTTTGACTCCAGATCACGTAAAAAATTTGTAAAATACGTGGCGGACTCCGTCCGACATCGGACCGGAACTCGAATATTTAAATGTCGGACTCAGTCCGACAGAGACCGCAAAGGGTTAATAAAAGACTATTCAGTATTTCTTCAGTAGTCGAAAGGTTCGTATTTTTTAAATAAATCCCGTGTTGGCAGAACTCGAAGGTTCATCACTGATATCCCCTAAGCCAGCCACTGCTCTTTATCCTGAGTCTGTTCAACCAAGTCAACATTCCCACCTGCAGATAATATTCTTAATCACTCAGCAATAAAATCAATGAGAATGTCTAATGGAGACATCTGTTGCTGCACAAACTTGGCTTTCGTTATATTGTGAACGAAACCGCTCGGCCGTAAACTATGAACAGCCGGATGGGGTAGTTGTAACACAAATGGGAGCAATAGTACGCCAATGACGTCTGACATTAACAGGAAAAGAAAACTGCAGAGGAACGGAAGCCATGTTTCAGAAGTCAGAATAAAATCTCGCAATTAGATTAACTACACTGCAACATAAGCTGCAGTGTATATTTTGTCTCGGAAACATAAGGTGAATATCTAGCGTCATAAAACATCTTGTGTGTAGTCAGGGAAGATAAATCATAAAATCATTGTTGATTTAATAGGAGACAATGACGACAGCAGTCTTTATCATTACAATGCCCCTAAAAAAGTGTTGACAATGCGATAACTTCAAGTCCTAGAAAATTCCACGTGATAAGATAAAAATGTTTACTAGATCACATGACGTTTTTGACATAAATTTCACTTCCTCAAGCAGATAAATATCAACATAACGTGCCTAACAAAAAAAAACCCAGGTCTACTGTAACCACGTTCGATGTTTTCATTTGCATTAAATATGAGTTTGATTTTCTCTTAAATCGTTACTTACCGCCTTGCCACTGTGGTGGTTCTCTGTTCCAGACATGCACAGGGATTCGATCCTGAGGCACGAAACTGTTTTTCTCTGGCTGATGGAACTGAGACAGATGGTCCACACCGTAACCTACACTTCTAGACGGAATCGAATCACTAGGCCTCTCATCAGCATTCTGAGGGCCATTCCGACCATGCACTGGTTTAACTCTGATATGCGTCACTTCAGTCTGTTCGGCGTCACTCGATGTTCTGTGTGACGATGCTGAGCCGACACCGGAGTCTGATGAAGCTGATGATGAAGTTGGAAGTGTAGACAGGGTAACTTCTAATTCTCCGCCACTTGTTAACTGTTGAAGCAATGGACTGACGTCCGAACGTTTAGAAAGTTCAGATGCCATGACTATAACAGGTCTTCTTGAAGACTGTTGCTGGTGTGGCGAAGGCTCCCGCTCTGGCACTGTGTGGGCGGATTGAATTTGCCTCGGTGATTTCAGCTGAGGGCAATGTAGTAGACGTTGCAGAGTTGGCATCGGCGCCGATGTCGCTGGTGCACGCAGTGTTTCGCCGTGCTCATGCGCTGATCGTGCTGAAACTAAAGCCTGTCTCTGATTTTCAAGTTCGGAAGCCACTGGTGAGACTTGTTTGGCCCTCTTTGGAGGACTTGATAAATATTCTTGCAGTCGCTTACTGTGTCTGAAAACAAAAAATGTATTAGATATAGTAATTCAAATGTTTAAAAATGGGGAAAGTGTTATACTGACAAAAAATTATGTACATACGTATCTTGTAAAATATTTCGTAATCTACATTTCATTACGCAGGCAATAATAAGTAACTTGTTTAAATAACGAAGCAACTTGCCATATAACATCCCAAAGTATACACTTCATCCCACTACGTTTGTTCACAGTCGCTCAGCTGGTCAAAAATTTTTATCACCTTCAGGAAATTACTGTATTTACAAAAGCCAATCGCTGGGCCCTATTCAATCAACAACTTATTTCAACAGTCTATTTGTCCCATTATCGGCCTCCCGAGTGGTGATGTTCCTTGCTACATATCCAGCCCATTTTATCGTCCTTCACCCTAAAAATATTAGGTGAATACATATAATTAATCTCCTCTTCACATAACTATATCCATCTCCTCTTTCTTAGGACCAAATCGTCTCCTCTCGCCCTCTACTTAAATACTTATTGGTCCACAGTTGATCGTCGTTCAATTTGCCTAGAAAAGTCCCCAAGCTTCTTCATTGTTTCTACCACTAGATTTTATCCCGAGCATCCTCGCACAAAATTTCTTTACGATCCATTGTAATATCATTATCCCAATAGGCCCTCTACTTATATGCACTAACCTATATTCCGTTGGGCTTGATGAGAGCGGAGGTTCGTTACTTCTTGCAGCGTCCAGCGTACTTTTGGAAACATGAGGACTTAGGACGACTGCAGCAGCGTCTGAAGTAGGAACTGCCCTCATGTCAGTGCTGGAAGTGTCAACAGTGGACCCGCCATTACTGCTGGAACAGGTTGTTCCACTGAGACGTCTGGGGGTCAGCACTGTCGACACACCTCCGTTTCGGATCTTCTCTTCGAGCCAGTTAAAGCCTGGAAGTTCCTGTGCTAAGCGACGCCCTTTCTCTTGCATCTGGGCCATAAAGATGTGCTGCATAACGTCCGCGGTAACTGTAGAATCGACTGAAATTAAAAAGTTAAATGTACGCACAGCACAACCATTCTTACTCGTACCTGAGGAAGAGGTAAACTCATCTGAAATGTAGGCCAGTACCTACCAGACTACACGATGCTACATCTCATAAGGCAACCATAACCTCAAATCTCACAAATTGTTTATTATATGAGATTTTAAGTCGTGATTATATTGACAGTGGTTGCTAAGTTATGACACCGTGTGGACTATTAGATTGGTATCAATGTTTCGGAAGAACACATTTTCCATCTTCAGGGCTGATGAAAGGGGCTTCCTGAAAGCTAGAGACGGAGGCAAAACGCAGTCTGATGTCGGGTAGTGTACCTACCTGTAAGTCCATACGGCATCACAACCCAGAAGACCATCATCGACAAACGTCTTATAAACCACAGACATCAATGAATCCTCTTAGAGTTTTTCTGAAAAAGGCTTGTGAAGTATGCAGCCCGCAAAGCGTGTAACATGTAACGGTGTAGATGCATCGCAATTCACACGGGGTTTATGTCTAGCATATGGGGTGATCGCGTATTGGAGGCGAATAGGAAAAGCTCCGCACATTCCAGTCCTCGAAATTATATGACTATGTATGATCAGCTTCACCCGGTGATTATAGCTCGCGGCTAGGAAGGGGGAGGTCAACCAGAGACGATTTGACAGCGGTGGTTATAACAGCCGGGATTCGAAACCTCGTCCCTTGGCCCGTACCCAAGTCATTTACTGACCGAGGAAAATATC